ATAAAATAATATCGGATATACGTAAAATTGTACATATATATTGTTGTCACTTGAATGTTGAAATAAATGCTGTGCCGATAAGATAATTTTCTATCTTCTTAAATTATCAATAATGAATTAAAAACTTCTTTATCAACTGATGGTTTGGTTTAGGGTTAATTCACAATAAAGAATTCAAAAGTACATAGAAGCTCACAAATCAACTTTTCGTGTAACTAAAATCATCTTAATTATTACCGGGATTACCAGTAGGCGAGAGTAGGTGCTTAATTCGATGACAGTTAATACTAGAAAGTATACTTTGATAGTATATGATAGTATATGATATGTTCTTATAGAAGTATACTGTATTTTTTGATAGTATTGACAACGAAGCCTGTTTGACCGTCATTGAATTAAGTACCTACTCTCGCCCACTGGTGGTCCCGGTACTAATTAAGATGATTTTAGTTACGCAAAAAGTGGACTTGTGAGCTTCTACATAGTTTTGTATTCTTGATTCACAATATTGGTCATTTAATTTCTCTTCTAGTTATTCTTAATCTTCTATGGACTAAATGAGTGAAAGCATCGTGTGAGTGGTGTAGTTGGGGTTATATTAAGAGTTGTTTATATTTTTTACGAACATTTAGAATTTGATATCATTTTATGAATTATTTATGTTAACTATTTAAAATTTTTATTATATTTTTAAACAAGCTTATATATCTTTATATATGATAAATATAATATAAATTTTTATTTTTTTCTCAGATTTTTAAAAGTAAAATAGTATATTAGGTAATTTAAGTATACTTTTAAAGAAATATTTTTTTAATCTTATATATTAAATAAGAAATTATAATTACTTATAAATATCTATGTATATATAATTTAATTTACATTTGTTAAGTTGCTTTTTTTTGTTTTTCAGTAATTGAACAAATTTGTATTTACTTAATCAATAGTATTAAAAATTGTATAAATTAATTATAGTCTAAAGAGATCATATGCTTAAATTATTCATACGTCGGTTATCTGCTGGTAAAATGACTTTATTCACTCAATGTTTAAATCCTATTACGGGTACTGCGACTTGGGAAGAAAAGGCCCAAGATTATGACTATCACCAGGAAGTTGCTAGATCGGCATTTGCTGATATGTTGCACGATCATGAAAGAGTTAGTATTTCAAATATAAATAATATAATTTTTGTATAAGACGATAAAAAAGTGATGTTTTTGATTATATAGAATCACAAGTATAATGTAGCACTTGAGGCTGCTATTAAAAAAAACCATGAAGCTGGAGAAGAAGCTAATGTACTTGATATTGGTACTGGTACTGGCTTATTATCTATGATGGCAGCAAAATGTGGAGCAGATAGTGTAACAGCATGCGAGGTATTTTATTATGATATATATATATTTAGTGGTCAGAAGTTTGGGTACTTTTCAAATTTTTTTATTAAATTCATTAGAACTCTCAAAGTATAAGTAATAAACTTTTGTAGCAACCAATATTTTTTATGATATTGCATTACAGTACTTTAGGTGTTCAGTTTTGTTTTCGAGGTAGTGATGTCTCAGTAAATTGTTTATCTCTGCTGCAGTTAAATAGAAATGATATCGACCCAACTTTTGGTCAGTAATGTATATATTTTTAAATAAGACTATTATTCTTAAAATATTTTAAAATATTCATAATGTTTTTTTTATTGTTTTATTTTTAGGCTTTCAGTCCAATGGCTGCGTGCGCTGTAACAATTATAAAAGAAAATGGTTTCGCAAACAAAATAAAATTGATACATAAACGTTCTACAGAAATGACAGTGGGTGAAGGTGGTGATATGGCTAAAAAAGCAAATATTTTGGTGACTGAAGTATTTGACACTGAACTTATCGGAGAAGGAGCATTATCTACGTTTCGGCATGCTCATGAAACATTACTCGAAGTACTATTAACAATTGATTCTTTAAACTGATAGATATTCCAATTACTCTTACATATATTTATAAATAATTTTCTTTATTAGAAAGGTAGTATAATAATACCAAATAGTGGTACTATGTGGGCACAAGTTGTTGAAAGCAAATCTGTTTCTGCGTGGAATAGAATAGAATCAATCAATGATATTAGGACACGAAAAACTTTAATAAATGCTCCATTATGCATAAAATCATGCTCCGGGGCAGCAGCTGTACATGACATTCAATTATCACGTCTTCCTCGTGATGAATTCAAACCTTTAATATCACCACAGCCTATTTTTAGGTGAAGATATATATATATATATATATATATATACACATACTAGTATTATAAGATGTGTGTTTATAAAATATTTAAATTATTTATGTTTTAGATTTAATTGGTCTGGGACTACACCACTGCAGTTTAATGAAAAAGTGTGTTTAAATGTTTTACCAATTGATAGTGGTATTGCTCATGCAATATTTTTATGGTGGGATTTAGATATGGACACAGAAGGAAAGGTGATAATTAATGCTATCAAAGTAATATACAGTTTTGATAATAGATATTTAATAGGTCTTATTAAGCTGTGCACCTGTGTGGGAACATCCTGAGATTAAAAATTCGAAACATAATAATATACATCTTAATGAACTAGCTGATAATATTCCATGGAGGGATCACTGGATGCAGACTATTTATTACCTCCCATCTGAAGTACAAATAAATATTAATAATAAGTTTAATCTTGTTGGTTATCACGACGAATACTGTTTTTGGTTTGATATAAAAAATGATCCAATGTATGTTTTATTTTTTTTATTGCATTGATTTCATTTGTTTGTTATATTTCTAACATTTGAACTTTGTTTCAATTTTAGATTAGATATACGGAATTGCGATAGACCAATATGTACTTGCATCACGCACATTGCTTACTGCAGAACACGCATAGGTCAATTGAACGATAAAGAACGGAATAGTAAATACATAAAAGCATTGTCTAAAAAGATTCATTCAAATTCTGTTTGTCTCTGTTTATCAGATGGATGCTTATTAGGTCTAGCTGCTGCACAGCTAGGTGCCAAAAAAGTATATGTATTAGAAACAAATATGTTATCTCGAAGAACTATTGAAAAGTTTATAAAGACAAATAATCTTAAAGAAAAAGTAGAAATTGTTACAAAAGATGATTTGCTGCCAATTATTAAAGTAGATTTAATTTTTGGTGAACCATACTTTATTAGCTCCATTGTGCCATGGGAAAATCTTCGATTTTGGTATCTTGCTTCACGATACTCATCAAATGTTCAAAGAATACCTATTGCAGCTACAATAAAAGCAGTTGCTGTGGAGTTTAGAGATTTATATAAAATTCGAGCACCTCTTGGAGTGTGTGAAGGTTTTGATTTATCTAGTTTTGACAAACTTGTTCAGGTAAGGCACTCTATATGTGTAAAAGTTTAAAATATCTTAATTTGTTTTTGTACAATTTTATATAGGAATCAAGTGACAAGAGTGATAGTCCTATAGATGCACAACCTCTGTGGGAATATCCTGCCTATGCTTTGACATTACCCTTCAAAATAAAAACATTTGACTTGTCTTCAAATGTTCATAATCATAAACGTATTCAAATATCGGATTATGTTCCTATTTTGCAGTAAGACTTATTTTAATTAATGCGTATTTAAAACTATATTATTTCGGATAAATTTATGAATTATTTTTCGTATTTAGAAATGGATCATGCAATGGGGTTGCATTGTGGGTTGATTGGCAATTAGATCCAGAGATAAGCATATCTTGTGGACCCACTGAAGAAATAGTACCCGGTGAGAGAATATCATGGGATAGATTTACTAGACAAGGTGTGCATATTTTTCGAAACATTAAAGATGTTTCATGTACAGATAAACTCTCATGGTCCTTTAGTTTTGCACCGAAACATGGAAGTATAGAGTTTAAATTTAATATAAATACACCCAAAAAAAATAAGAATGGTTAACACTAATGATTATCTTAATTGAAAATATGAAATAAAAAATAAATATTATTTTATGCCACTTGCATACTTATTCGTTGTGTAGAAACTTATTTTAATAATTTACTTTATGCCTTACTTTACTAAGATTCTTCAGGTAACATACGTAATTGTTTAGCTAGACGTCTGCTTATAAGTTTAGGGTAAGTTTTCTGTTTCATTAAAAACTCTTTACTCTGATGAGTTACTGCTCCATTTTCGAGTTGAAACCTAGAATGCACATTCTGTAATTTTTTTGCAATATATTATAGTAAAGTACAATATATAATATAAGGGATATACAGATTAATTAAACAAAGAAGCATTACTAACTTGCAGAGGTAATGTAAAGGCCCAAGCATAATATTTTTTAACTGTTGGTTTCTCTCTAAAATTGAAAGTGCATATGCCCCTGTTTCAAGAGTTGATAAGCATCCTTCAGTTGGTTGTGTTCGTATGACATATTCGCTCACTGGTACGCCTACTAGTTTGTAGGCTCGAAGTAAATATAATGCAGGGCTCGCATGATATATAGCCTATAGCGTAAATTCTT